TTGATTAAATTGTACAGTTGAGCTTTCTACAGGTTGTCTGAAAATGGGATGTTATTTCCAACAGACAGGCTTTCTTTTCTTCCGTTAAGACGTCGGTGGTTTGTCTATCTGAGTGTTGTGATAAGAGGCGTTATCAATGACCAGAAAGGAGATTGCAATGAACATGTATCATGTTGTTAACGCAGCACAGTCACGAGACAACAATTATCAAGCTCCACACTGCTGCACTGACACAGACTGTGCTGACCGACGGAAATTCCTACCTTCCTACATTGAGTGGTCCGCATACTGGGCACTCCCTACAAGGTCAGCGGTCATAATCGGTGGATCCAGTTCTACGAGTAGTTGTGAATTCTGGGCTAAATTACCATTTACAATGCAATGATGACACAATATTAAAGGAACTAATGTGCTTTTGAAAAATTAGCAGTATGACTTGCTTTAACAGATTTTCCTTTTTCGTTCTATAAGGCAGATCCTCGAAGTCAAAATTACATGTAAGAATTGCATTTACGTTACAACCCACCAGCGGAAATACGTCTGAATAAAATTCACGAAGATCGGCTTTACGTTTCAGAAGATAATTTGTTGTATGTATGGGGTTGCTCGTTGTTTTTCTTAGCCGTAGACAAATGCCAGGTTATTCCAGTTGAATAAGTCAGTAACGTCCTCCCAATTGCTATAAATAGTCATCCTCTTCTGTTATTTAACTCTAACTTCACTCTTCCACAATGCATAATTGAGCACTAGCGACACCTACACATTAACCTTTAACTTCGAGTAACACCATCAGTGGATACAGCAAAGATTAATTACACACGAACCGACAAAGAAACGAAAGATTTAGAAGGGAGTGTCCCTGTGAAATTAATGTTGAGGTATACTCTAGAATAGGACCAAGCAGCTGAAAATAAAAAAAAACTGGTTCAATTGAGGATGGGATGCTAATGGAGGTCTTGTACGTTTATGTATCGGACTTAATATTCTCACCTTATATAGTAGAAAAACTTTAATGCTAAATTTTAGCATAAATGTACAGAATGGGTTAAAAGTCCTTGAACAAAATAAATATTGGAAAAAGAATAAATCGTAAACGACACAATTTATTTGTTGTATTAGATGCAAACACGAAAGAACGTAGCCCAATTCTCTGTCTATCCAAATGAAAGAGTCACACACTTTCGGGAGCGTTGTGATTTATTTAATTATATCTTTAATTTGTTCAAGGACATTGACCCACTCGTAGATTTCAAATATTTGTTTTACAAGTGAATCTCGTCGAAAATAAAAATAAAACTCATATTCATTCCATGTCTAAAATTTTGGGGTTCAGTGATCAACTCTTTAATTCATCTTACCAAAAGTCGTGGCTGGGTGATAAGCTCTCCTGCCAATTGAGAGGCTCCAGGTTCAAATCTGGGCCCAGAGTCAGGCTATTATAATTGAGATTTTTGTGTTTTTCCTCAGTTCCTCCAAGCAAATGTCCGGATAGTGATTTCATGTAGGCCACGGCCGCTTGCTTCCACATACTTTAGAATTCATTAATCATCTCTTCATTCGACACCATATGGTCTACATCACTGAGAACACCGTAAAATAAACCACAAATAAATAATTATTCTTATTTCTGATTTTAAATGTTCGAGTTATGTAAGAACGAAATCGATAAAAATTACTTTTTGCTCGAGCCATTCTTACTGAAAACATTTGTTGTACTTTTTTACCTGTGGATATAATTTTGTACTTCTTGCAATGTGAAAATGTGTCTCAGATGCATGTAAAAGCATGCGAACGGGAAATATTTCGGAAAATTCCAGTGCATTTTAAGTGTTCAGTTTCAAAATTACAATGTCCTGTCTTTTACATTTGCTTGGTTGAATAAATTACCACAGCGTTCTTCATAAAGAATGGCGAATTCGGGAAAATACACTGGTAGACTGTTCATCTAATTTAATGAGAAAACTTTGATGTTGCCTTCATTGGCTTCCATAATTGACGCTCAGCTGTTACGTGACGTCACGCACACCACCACATCATCAGCTACATGACAATGGGACTGTACGCACGCTTGAACTATTTAAAGTGGTAAATAATAGGATGTTGGTTTCGGTTAAAATAAGATTTGAAGGAGAATAAGAAGCAATTCGAGGCGTGTGAAATGTTTTCACTTTACAACCTTTGAAGACTTAATTCGCCGTACAAAGACGCGGTTCGTCTAATGCCAACCCTCGCCGTCCGTCCTTCGGATACGCGTGCCGGACTTTCCTCCAGGGGCAGGCTAAAGTAGACAACCCGACATGCATCCGTACCTAGCAAGACTGCGTAATGTTCAAATTAATTAAATAAAAAATAAAAATATTTTGAACATGTCGTTCTGCCAATTGTTTAAGAACTGAAATATTACAGGAGGTGTCCTGGTTTTGATCAGGATTTTCAGGGAACTTAGGGATTGAATGAGAATAAGACATGAGCGCCTTCTTTAAATCCCCGCTGTACAAAAAGCCTTTTACAAATTAACCAATGAGTAACCAGTACAGAAAATTGTCTCGAAATTTTAATGAAAATAACAGAGTACCTTAATGAAAATTTTCATTAGTAACTGCGGATACAAAATCCGTATTTTTGGTGTCAGAGAATGGTAGAGGTAAATGAATTAATGAACGAACGAGATCATAAAAACAAAACTGACTAATAATAATAAATTAAAGGCGATATTATCTCTGACAAAACAAACACAGTAGAAAGACATCTTATTTTCCGCGATTTTCAGTGCAAATTTTCCATCAGTCTGCAAGATCATAAAAAAATATTGCGAGGAACCTTACTATTCATTACTGATTCTAATCTGAGATAAACTTTCATTTATGGTCCGTACTTTGAGCTGTCTGCAAATGGCGGAAATTATCATTCGAATATTTCAGCCCAAAGTAAGTTGACGAGATGTCGTCGTGTCGAAACAATGTTTGTCTTCATAGTCTAATTACATGTTTGGGAACGAAATACACATGATGATAATTTTATTTGAAATAGATGACTGCAATGTGAAAAGAAATTTCATAGCGAGTAGTTTCAAAATTTGTAATTTTATTAAATATATAAGTTATTATTAGCGTGATCAAATCAAAGACAATAAAATGAATGGGAACCTATATAATATATTAGAAGTATGAGAAATCTGTACGTACTTTTAGTCGTAATTATTGAATGGAGAAAGACGACATGTTGCAATAGATCTGAATGAGTAGGGTCTCAAGGTGTGAACTGGATTCATCCGTGGAGTCTGAGACTTTTATATTCGGAAATAAAGACACATCACATCTGATGTTCTCAGGACTGCGAAGATGTCAAAGTTGGGTCTTTTCGGTTGTAACGCAGTGGGAACTCATATTTAGATAAACGCACGGTGCCTCCATCTTCAGGGTTGAAGACGAACATCACTAAAAGAAAGGAGGAGTTTCGGATTTGGTCGGATTCTTTATGGTTCAGTGGCGGGCTGTTGTGAACACTGTTATGACTTTTTGAATTTTATAAAATCCGGGGGAGGGGGGGGTGACCAGCTGAGTGACAATCAGATTCTTAAGAAAGCCTTTGTTCCACGTAGTTGTTTGGTTAGCTAGCTAACGAGTTTGTACACAATTCTTAATATTACTTAGTTCTATGTAATGGATATTTTACGGCCTTTATTATAAATTATTTACATTATGTTTTCTATTAATAATACTCTTCTGTTCGGCACGCCGTGTGCTCCAAGAGAGGTGTGACGTATTTTTAGTTTATTGACTAAAGTTTAGGTGTTTCAGTCACCGACAAAGTGGAAATTAGAGGCTATACGCAGCAACAGAGGGAGTTGTGTTTTCTTTGATAATTTACGTTTTTCATGGCAAAAGTAAGTCTTAAATCGCTTCATACTTAATGGCATTGTACACTATTAATGCTGACAAAATTACATCAGTTTCAAATCCAGTTAGACAAGATGTTGACATTTCGTGTTAACACGTGGCATTGGTTAGTAAGAATCACGGCCGCGTGCTATCGTCAGTTATTCCACACTGCCTTCAAAAGACAACTGCGAACTATGGATTCTGAAGACGCACATAAAAATAAAAGATTTCCTGAAAACAATAATACATCAAAGTTTGCTCGTAGTACAGGATAAAAAATGTCTATTTTCCCTTCAGAGCTTTCTGCCTGGTGGTTGCTAGGGCAACGCGTGAGATTTAATGCATAAAGTTATCCATGTCCACAAGTATTTTGTTGCTAGGCAACCATATTATGATTTAATTTATGAAGCTATCTAATAGGTACTTAAGGCCGTGTCGCTATATTGCCCTATGGAGCCAAGTGTGTGACATTAGCTTGTGTATTAAACAGCTGTTACAGTCTGAATTCAACGAAACAATAAATCGGGTTTATTTATTTCACAACTTAGTGATGGTTAAGACATTAAGTGTCCTGACATTGTTTTCAGAGTTACTTAATTTAATTACATATGCACGTTGAGGCTTAATATATAACAATGTTTTCACCGGGTGTTGGTTGGGAAGCCTGAGGGGAAGAGACCTCTGGGGAGACCTAGACGTAGATGGGAGGATACTCTCAGGCGGGATCTATGGGAGATAGGAGTTGAAGGAGACTGGATTTTGTTGGCTCATGACAGGGTCCGGTGGAGGGCTTTGGTTAATTCGGTGATGAACCTTCGGGTTCTGTAAGCCATCTGTTTGGTTGGGTCCACTATTTGGGAAGCCTGAGGGGAATAGACCGCTGGGGAGACCTTGACGTAGATGGGAGGATAATCTCAGGCGGGATCTATGGGAGATAGGAGTTGAAGGAGACTGGATTTTGTTGGCTCATGACAGGGTCCGGTGGAGGGCTTTGGTTAATTCGGTGATGAACCTTCGGGTTCTGTAAGCCATCTGTTTGGTTGGGTCCACTATTTGGGAAGCCTGAGGGGAACAGATCGCTTTGGAGACCTAGACGTAGATGGGAGGATGATCTCAGGCGGGATCTATGGGAGATAGGAGTTGAAGGAGACTGGGTTTTGTTGGCCCAGGACAGGGTCCGGTGGAGGGCTTTGGTTAATTCGGTGATGAACCTTCGGGTTCCGTAAGCCATCTGGTTGGTTGGGTCCACTATTTGGGAAGCCTGAGGGGAAGAGACCGCTGGGGAGACCTAGGCGTAGATGGGAGGATAATCTCAGGCGGGATCTATGGGAGATAGGAGTTGACGGAAACTGGATTTTGTTGGCCCAGGACAGGGTCCGGTGGAGGGCTTTGGTTAATTCGGTGATGAACCTTCGGGTTCGGTAAGCCATCTAGTTAGTTAGTTAGTTATCCCCATAATACAGAACATTTTCACACTCCACATACTTGTTGTACATACATGCATTTTGTTAAACAGGATTTGAGGTTTTCACGGCGGTGTGTCCGAAGATGGCTGCTTTCTGGGTTCTGCGATGACCCATTGCTTTGATGATGGTGGCAGAAAGTACCTCTGAAACGATGGTAAACTTCTACCAGACTACACGGCGCTACAACCCAGAAGACAGCCATCTTCACGTATTTTATATCCTGTTGACAATAGGCAGAGAATATTCCAGCAAAGTCAGTCTTGTAACGTGATGCAGTTTGTATTTACCTCGTTATGATCTCTCTGTTTACTGTATCGCATAGTTCCAGACATGAGACAGTTCAGATATTGACTTTCTGCCTCATTGTTCGCACGAACTGAGATGTATAACAGAATAGTACAGACAGTTTACTAATTGGCTATCGACTAGACAGTAATTCTCATTTCCACGAAGTTTAATGAATGAATGTGGACAAACTGTTTTAATCTAGTAATTCTCCGGAAAAAGCAAATGCTGTTGGTGATCAAACAATAACAAAAATTACTACTAGTAATGCTACCACCACCATGCATGTTAAGCAAAACAGATCATGACACTTTGAAAATGACACAAAATCAAATGCGGCGCCCTAACAATTTCATACCTTTATTTGTTTTAAAAGACCTGGGCTATAGTTGTTGTTGCCTGCCACCGCTAGATGTCACTAGTTTTAAAATGGTTACCTCACAGCAGAGGTGTCGGTGTGTTCTACAGTTATCGAGAATAGTGTAACAGCTGTGCAACGTAAACTTCGCACAGAATATAACATGGAACCACCCAGGTGAGTATTCATATACGCCACAATCATTGCCAGAGTTGGGGCAGAGAATCAAAACTTCCATAGCTTCCATTACCAGGGACAATTTGCACAAAGCTTGGGACGAGTTTGAGCGTGTTTCTGTCGATTGGTGTAGGTGTGGATTTTAAGTATAACGCATTTGTTTTCTGTATAATTTTGAAAGTGTAAAGTTCTTTTGTTCTCACCTGGTATAACTAAAGGAAAACTGAGCTTTGATTAAACACAAAGAAGGTTCCAATAGAGTTATTTTTCCTGTTCATTCTGCAACATCTGCTTGTACAGAGTGTACCATTTTAAGCGTAACCCAACAACAATCACGTGATACGGTACAAACATGAAATAAGAAGCACGTTCACCCCCGTGTAATAGACTCTCCAAACATTCCCCATAACGTGCGAGTCAAGGTCACGCCAGTTGCGAACATGATGTGTTCATGAGCAAAACGTGTGTTTTTTCTCAAACGTTAATTATTTGGCATCGAAATCGTTTTCTGTCAGTGAAGCATTTAGCAATACGTGTCCTGACAAGAAATCCAAAGAAGACAGTACACCGACCAGTAACATTTCGGGATACAGGTAGTGTTTGTGTGTGACAGAAGAACTGATTTATGGCCTTATCGTTTTCAAGCATTTTAAGCTGCAACGGCTCCAGAAAATGGTTTCGTCGTTTTGTGCGTGAAGGGGTTCATGTGTGTTAGTGAAGATTAAAATGGAATAGTTTGCACATGAGTGACATAATGACGTAACCGTTCAATACTGTTTACCTCTTCCGCATTCACAAAATTGTGCTACTGGTACAGAACGTTGCCTTCTGTTGGTTATTGCACTGCTCCGAATTTAGTAGGCTCGTCGATACTGTATCTCCTGAGTGATGTTTCTCTGACATTTCCTCATTTACTTTGGAAGTCTGCGATAATATCTTAAAACAGATAGCGACAAGTTTTTCCATATCTTGCCAAACCGCCTTACCAACGCCTCACTGACGAAAGAATGGTAAAATGGCAAAGAGGATCACAATAAATATTAATATACAAAGCATTCCATTATAACGTATTTTGGTGTTTCGTGAAATGTAGAGTTTTTCTTGTGTAGATGATACGTACTGAAAGTTATAGTAACACTGTTCACTTCTAACAAAACGAATTCAAAATGGACGTATCCATTATGTTATAATGCGGTGTTTTTCAAAGTGATTTCATCACGAAACCATTTTTGGGTCTCTGAGGTATCAATGGAAACTTAAATCCTTTCTGATTGAATGCTCCGCCTGATAAGACGCAGCCATGAAGAACGATACAATTACTAGAAAAGGTTAAAACATTCTTACAGTGTTGAGAAATCAGAAATAGGACAAGTTAGAGTTTTACAATTGGTAATCCACCTACATAAATGAATTTCGTTATGTAAATAAGGTTTATAGTAGCCGCCTCCAAATTACATGCTCCTCAGTTTCATAATTATTTTTATTCGTTTATAAATCTCACGTGATACATCCCTCTAATCTAAGGTAACTTAACGTAACCTAACTTAAGGTATCATTGAATAAATACGTTTTTAAGTCATTTTACTTTTGACGACGAGAGGGCACAAACAAGGAAATGAACTACTTACTAAGACCGATTCTGTTTTGTGGAAGAATACACAAATTCTACCACATAGAAACGAACTGGGGTTGAAATGACTTTGATAAGTCTAAGGTAGCGAGAAAATTTTATCACTACCGGATTAAAAATTGACAAAGGAAAATTTTAATGTAAGAAGAGGACATTTAATAGAATAAAATCTGTAATAAGGGGTTTCAGGAAAAAATGAGACAGTTCTATCAGACTGCAATCGTAAAATATGATATTAACTAACTGTGAATGTTTCAAGTTGATATTTTGCTATTTCTGGCCTCTGCGTGCTTGGTAATAGTAAAAATATCTACTTATGGAGCGCGAATAATATGGCACTATTTCATTTAATGCCAATGATAAGGGATGATGAAGTTTTTACTTTTCACGGTTTTGTGTTTTCCAAGATTTATCACACACCATTAGGCCCCATTTCATAAAATAAAAACTTAATTTCAGTTATTAAAGTACTAGTAAGATATTTAAATTTTAAATATTAAGCATTTTCTAATCAAATTAAAGAGGGTGAGATGGGTAGTGTATGTAGAAAACACAGTGGATGTGAGAACACATAACAAATTCAATTAAAAGATCTGAAGAAAATCGGTAACTAAAATGTAAACAGGGGGATAATATTATAATTAAAATATAGTGCGATTTGTTCATCTCACTCAGAACAGGATCAAAAAACTCAGTAAAGAACCTTCGATTTCTGTAAACGTAGCGAAATTTCTTGACTAGCTGAGAAGTTATCTTCTTTACTGAAAGTCTTTGCACTGTGGAACCAGAATTTTTAAAATGAAACATGCCACAATCAAATATTTTAATTTCGAATTTAGTGTAGTCTAAATGGGGAATTCGACTTTCCATATATACACAGACAGACCTAGCTCTCCATGTTCTATTTTATACCTGGGTAACGCTTCGTGTCTGATACCCAATAACAAATTGTTGTTGGCACCATTGATGCTTCAATTAGCCTTGCAATAGGTCATGTTTGATATTGCAGAGATGACGTCCTTTCACTGCTACCACAGGAATTTAATTTCATTATGCAGCTTGGCATCTGTTCAGTACTTGAAAACATTCCTTGTTTGCTTATGTAATGTAATGGTTATTTACAAACAACTACAAGGAGGTGAACTAGACCGGAAATCAGATTACACTGTCACCCAGAACTTTTATAGCCTACTTATCGTACTATACGTACAAGGGCTACTAGGCTTATGGTATCATTCCCTTACGTGTATCCTTTCTCGTGGAAACCTTTGGACGAAATGACCAATTTTCTTAATAATTATAGATTTATATCGTGACATTGGAGCTGAGTAATCATACTTATATTTATGTTAGCTCAGATTTCTATATGAGACAGTAAACTAAACTGGATTATATGCAAATATAAACATTCCCTTTGTTGTAGGCTTTATAAGTTTTGAAGTCCCGATGTACATACATATTATCCAGTGAATCATTCAGGTACCGTCGAATAATTTTATGCGACTCGTAAAATAAGACCATATTTATTCAACCCTAATGATAATTCTAGTTTATTAGTTATACATTATCGTACTCACCTCACTTGAAGTATCGGTCTATCTTAAACTTGGTTTGGCGGGAGAATACACGTATCCGATTTGGAGGTTATATAATCAACTTCTTATTACGTCTTTATCGTATCTTATACTGTTTCATTCTATGCTAAATAATGCACACACAACGCAATGTAATAACATACACTTTTACATTCAAACCTTACCACTTTAATTATTAATTCCTATTATAAGAAGTTTAAACTTCATGTGCATATTACTTTCGTCAGCGATCAACAGAACTATACTGTAAGAGTGTCTAATTGCTTCAATCGTTAAAATGACACCCAACATGAGACTTGTGGACATATGATAGGCTCGCGGCGGAAGGATATCTCAAAACGTGCAATGATATATTGATATCTTTGGTGTTCACAACAAGGTAACAAGGACTTAAGTCAAACATAATCTATACAAAATATAGGCCTACGGCGTATAAATATTTTGTGTTATCACGACGACTGTGGTTGGATTCCAATTGGGCACCGAGAATAATTTCTCTTTTCCCAAAGGGTTCGAATTGAATTCAATGGTTACTGTTGGTAGCAGTCACATAAGCGGGCAATGCAAACTTACGTTTTGTAGGTTGGTTTCAGGAAAACACTATGACAAATTTTCTTGTCTGTGTGTTTCGATAGTAACATTTGAATCGAATTGAATAGAAAACTTGATACAAAATTTGGCTGTATTGTTCCGAATTATACACATGGTTTTGATATACAGCATTTACTTTTTTTTAAATTTAATATTTCGTTATCATTATCATTTGACTTATTCAATTTCCTTCTTTGGTTTTAGATGTCTGTGTTATCCTATGTAGATATTAGGGTAAACAGGCAAAGGCACGTTACTAGTCTAAGCCTGATAAAATACGTGGTTATTTCAAAATGACAAAAGGAGGTTAAACACGAACAAGTAACAAATAGAAGATAAGTACAAATGTGTGACGCTCAGCTAACAGTTACTAACGGATCGCAATTGAGGCTTGAGATTTGAATAATTAGTATAAACCGTGCAATATCCCTTTATCTCAACTTTGCTGTAGAATAAAACAAATAAAAAAATGGACACGTCAGCTTCTGATTCAACCTGATAACATTAATTTACTTGGCAAAAACGCAGATACAATAAAGAACTCAGCAAAACTGTAGGCATGTTAGAAAGAAACCCGGGATAGAAATTTAAATTAGGCCACGACCACATCTTTTCAAAATTATCATTCATTATCTTACCATTCTGCACTAAGGCTACAGTCTAAGCTACTTACATTGTCGTTAAATAAACAAATAATAATATCTGTAGAAAATAGAAACCTGTCCAAAACGAAAGATGTTTAGATCCTTTCACATTCTGCTACAAACTGATTTTAAAGTTACTTCTTTGCTTTGTAATCTAAGACCGCAGATCAATGGACATGTCACCAGCTTCAGGTACATGCTGGAACACACTCATTGTTTCAACTTTCTTTCGTGTAGTGGGATTCAGGTCCTGACAAATGCCTATCGTAACATTTATTCATCTTATAAAAATTCCTAACGGTGCATACATTGAACTTAAGTATGTATGTAGACACAAATAAACAGCGTAACCGTATAGTAAACTTCACATGAGTAGAGGCGTTATTTTCATTAATTAATTTACAGTCAGTCAGTGGTAGCAGAAAATTCTGTTCTCGAGTTGTTAAGTTACCTAGCAATTCCACGTGGTTTGTGAAACAACAGCCATGTCATGTTCATTTCTGCTCATGTTTTTCGTAATATATTTTCATGATCAGTAAGAGCCATCCACAAAGAATCTTAATCGCCGTTACTGAGTGTCGTCCTTTCACTCTGGACTTGCAGAATCCGCCATCGTCTCGTCGTTTTGACCCACTAACCGACTTAGCTAAGTCATGGAGTTGCTGTAAATCCCGAGACGGATTAAAGCGCTGTCTTCACTAGGGCAATTAGCTGGACTTAAATTTACCACCGCTATCATTACCATCACTGGGGCGTGGGCGTTGTTCGCTTGGACACTGAGACCGTAGGTTCGAATCCCCCGCGTCGTTCTGCGTTGTGGTGTCTTGTATAGGCACAGGCCTTACAACGGCAGATAACTTGTCCAAGAAGTCCTATCAAATGTCTAAATAGATCAAGTAACCTCCCTTGTGTGAGGAAGCAAGGCTCGTCAAGGCATTTTTTAAAATTGGCCTTCTAGTGTTTCCCTGCTGCAATTAGGGCCGCATTCCTTTAAAAGAAATTCTATTTTAAAATGTGAGGTATCTTCAGTGCATCATGGGAGTCCTTTGTTTCACAGCTATTGTGGGTTGACATTCATAGAACATTCTTGGGTTAGAACTTCGCTCTGATGATGGAGGTAGCAAGGACCTCTGAAACGTAGGTAAACTTCTACCAGACTACACGGCGCAACATACCAGACGACAGCCATCTTCGGGATAAAACTTGTTATTCATTGCCATTATTATTGTCACATGATTTCATTTTATATTAGTGCGCTATCAATGTAAACTATCGGTAATTTCTGAACACGACAACGCAACTTTAGGTTCTTTCCGGCAGGAAATTTAGTTACTAGACAGACGACTACAGGGAATACATGGCTCCATGTAGTTATTTAGTCCACCAGTAGATAGAGTAAGTTTTGTAAAAGTGACATTTCAGCATTCATTACATAGTTCACAAAAGCAACGCGCATGTGCCAACAAGCTGGTTACCGGGTAAGACGTAGCCAAAAACATTTATGACTGGTGTATCTCCACAAAAAACGCAGTCCAATATCCACCGAAAAATCAGTGCGCGACTTGTATTCATGATCTTCAAAGGTCATTGATTTTGTTACTCGGCTTACATAAATTTCGCAGTACCTGCAAGAGATGGCACAAACTTCTGTTCTCTAATCAAGTCGACTGTAGTAATAAGGTAGTCCTTGACCAAACTAACAGATGGTGCTGGTGCCCGCTCCGACATTCCACAAATACTGTCACAATAAAGGAATGTTGTTCTACGTTGCTGAACGGAAGATGTTTTTCAATAACATAACTCGGTTTTCAGTTGTCCCTTTTAACGCAGAGAATTCTGCGACGCACGTATCTCATTTTGAATTATTTCGGATTTTACTCTGTTTCCTCAATTCCACAGATTTCCGTGTCCATCTAATACTAACCTATTACGAGGCGGTATGGGCATACAACGAAAATAATATCAGGATTATGAAAATATCGTCGAGCGCCGTAAATGTCATGACTGTCGATATTTAAGGTCCAACAGACAGGGATTCTGTCCTCTTCTCTCCATTTTTTCTGAGGGCGAATCCAAAATCCAGCTTCCGAAACGTCATCATACACATTAAGCACCAATATCTGAAACATTCACACTTCGGCCGAATACCGTTGTCTAGCGTATGAACACTAGTGGGCGCATGCGTTATACCCTATAACATGCAGCAATAATGAAGCCGGCTGGGCGAAAGTCATGGGGTGGGGGATGAAGCATTTTAATTAGCTTTTTTTTAAGATGCTGGGTAATGGATCACGAGGTCAAAAGATCGATTTATAATTTTAATGAATTTTGTACCAGATATGATATATATTAGGTTGTTCTTAAGTACGTATTCATTAAGTGCAAATATATTAACGTGGGTGTTAAAGACGATCGCTTGCTTTGAGAGAAGAAATAAATTAAAAACGTTTAAAAACAAAATGCACAGCAAATTATGTGGATAAAAGAAGAGTGACAGGTGGTAAGCAACAATTTATATTTCACAAAGAAAAACCTCACGATTTATACACGCAGCCTAATAATACCAAAACTGTGAAATGTTGAAGGCCACAATTGGCTCGGAATGTGGTTTCGAACAGACAAGGAATAGATTTCATCCTCAGTTTCGCCTTCTGTGAATTTACAACTGATATAGGTCTAATATGGCTGGGTTTTTTGTTTTTATTTCTCTGTTGTGCACTAAATTCCTTCTTAGTAACTACCAACCCAAAATTGCATTGGAACAAGAAAAATAAAATCAACATTCACAATTAAAATAAGACTGTAATATAGTTCGGTTTAAACGTGCCAGTACAAGAATTCAATCAATAGTGAAGGTTGCTATTATCTGTATTAGGCCGGCCTACTCAGTAATAACTGAGTGCGGTTTCATGTATGAGAAATTGCAGTAATGGAAATCTACTTACCAGCTAATACACTATATAAATTACTTACATTCTAACGGAACTAACTACGTTTTGCTGTACCATATCTCTCAGCTTTACCTTCTACTTCCATTTAATCAGCTTAGTACAAGTTGTCGAATAGTTGATTTTGCATTTAATCACTTTACGTTAATGATTGGTATGAAGCTTTATTGTAAATATAAGCCTGTTACTTACATATGAAGTTGGGTCATAGAAATATTTAAAACTGAAACGTAAAATGAAAATACAGTATTTTTCACAAAACGTAAAAATATGAATCCTTAAACTTAGCATAAAAATTCTGAGTCGTAATAATCATGTTATTATATTTTCCAATCCATAATTTAGAGGCATTTTGCTGGAATCGAGAAAGGTCTGTATTGCTGTCAATAGATATTAATTAAATTACTTTAATTTATTTATTCTGACGCGCTAACTCAACAGCTACAAGAGCCATTTAAAGAGTCAGCACATGAGAATAAAGTAAATACATACATGAAGCAAATAAAATAAAATATTATAGTGCACAGCAATGCTGAAGGTAGGAAATACAGCGATTAACGATAGACCAATTAAAAAAAAGATTTATCTTAAAAAGGATTATCGAACATTCTAAAACCAGGCCTGTAGCAATCTCATTGGCATATACGGCGCAATGAAAGGAATGAAATTTTCCGTGTGCCATCGACTTGTAGAAAGTTCTGAAGTTTCTTAAGGTTTTGGTTGGAACTCTAATCCCAATATTTTCCAAAATTGTAAACATTCTTTATCCAAATAATACCATCTCTCACATAATGTGTGTTTTTAAGTAATCCAAAACTTTGTTGTAATTGTGTGCATTATAATTTTTTAAATAATAATAATCGTAATCTGCAAATGCTTTTGGCATGAAGATATAAAGAATTCATATGGAGCTTAACAGCCCGGGATTGTAACCAGATTTATCAGCCGACCAGGGCATTCCCTAAGGAGTGCAGCATCCGAGCTAAACAGACCTAACCGGAATAATTATTTATAGTACTATGACAATTCAATACACATTTTTTTATCGATATTACGACATCTTCCAACCAAATTTTTTAAATTTTTAAACGAATTTGTTTCTCTGTTGTAAACCTCATCTATTTATTTGTACAATATTACTTTTGACTTTGTGTATTAACAGTCAAAAAGCGTTAAACTCACTGATAGGTGATGCACTGTCTAGTACATGAAGTGACTTAAGCTGTAATGGCTACATCAAAGGAGGTGAATATTAAGACGCCAGAAGTTTCTGCTTGTTTCCACACTCCCTTTAGGAATACAAATTGAAGAACAACATATTTAAAATCTATATGTAAATTCAGAGGTATAAAATAACGTAGGTAAAGTCAGTCAAGACATTACATTTACGTATTAGTTACGAAGCTGATGAAATGGTCAATGTTGTTAAATCTGTCACCTGAAACAAAAGTAATCCAATTAGGAAGCAGTTTTGTTCAAGACGAGCTTAGAGGCCAACTGGCATATGTCTAACAGAAAGGGAACATATTTTTATGTATACTTTCCAAAAAATATACAAAAGTATAATTTTGCCTGTAGTTTTGTATGGGTGGGAAAATTGGTCTCTGCCACTAAGGGATGAACGTAGACTGAGGGTGCTTGAAAACAGGGTGCCGAGGAGAATATCTGGACCCAAGAGGGATGAAATATTACGATGCTGAAGAAAGTTGCAAAAAAGTACCTTCATAATTTGTACTCCTCTATAAACACAATCAGAATAATAAAGTCGAAGAGAGTGAGATAGGCAGGGAATGTAGATCACATCAGAGAGAAGATAAATGCATACAAGGTTTTGGTGGGAAAACCAGGAGAAAAGAACCACTGGAAAGACCTAGAAGTAGGTGGGAGGATAATATTAAAACGAATCTCAGAGAAATAGGATGGGATGGATTGGATTCATCTGGCTCAGGATAGGGACCACACGGTAATAAAATTTGGGTTCCATAAAAGGTTGGGAATTTCTTGAGCGGCTGATCAACTGCTGGCTTCTCATGAAGGATTCGGCTCCGGGAGTTATGTTATGTATAATAGAGTAACCGAGACCGAAGAAATGTGTTTTAGTAGGCTTGTTCTGCAAAATGAAATGACACGCTTAAAAATTACATTAAATGAGATTAGCACAACTTAGGATTTTGAAAATATCGGGTTAATTTGGGTTTTTTACTGAAATCAAGTTAAAAGTATCAGTTTAATATATATTACTGTACACAGTTTAATCAGTTGCTCTTGAAAATTGTGCGAATAACAAAAGACAGATTACTGTACGGAATAATGCGTCCAAAATTACATTCGTTTCAAAAATACAATATCATGCATTTTGCACATAGAGTATATTCTGTGTCCGTTTTCGTCTTCTGTTACGAAAGCTCACCCTCAGATAAAAAATGAGTTAAAAGCATTCTTACAAATGGAAAGATCTGAACTGAAACTACAGCATTCAAATCAAAAAGCTTGAAGATCTGGAAGCATGGAAGTAGAAGAGGAAGCGGTAGAAAAGGTGATAAGTGGTACCACAAAACCAGAAGTCTCCCGGCCCGAAGCTAATCTAAGAACTTCAACCGATATGGATTCTTCACACACGTCCGTAAACATGTCAACAAATCCACCAGCGAAAAAAATAACAAATACTACAACGAAATGGCAGTGATTATAATAATAACAAGAGCGTTGTAATGATGAATACACAATACATTTTACTCACATTAACCACGCCCACATTTGTTTCTTTTTGTTCTTTTATCCAGCACGCATTTCTCCCCCGACTGACACTTCACATTGTCACAATACACAGATTCACCTGCGAAGAAAAGGAAGAAATGTTGCATTAATACAGACTTCAAAGTTTCTTCCTCAAGGATATTTTTAAGGTAGAATATATTCCACGTGGTAATAGTTAATAGTGTTTTGAACATACACCCAGACTACACAGCGCAACAACCCAGAAGACAGAAATCTTCATACTCACCGCTGTGAAAACCTCAAATCATACGTACACAAACAAGTTCTGTGAATTATTTATTCTAATTAAGATAAAAAACAGATGTTCTTTATATACAAATAGTTGAAGACTAACAGTGTTTATACCAGGCCTTGGTTCGGATTATAATCTGAGGTTAGTATTCAGTAGCATTCTCTGAAGTAACTTATTTATGGATAGAAGGAAAATTAACACAATTTATGACTGTAGATAATTAACAGTTAACTGTTCACGAAAAATTATTAGAATGATCCAATCAAAGATGGGCTGGGCATTTAGTGCGCATGGAGGGGGTGAGAAAAGAAATACGTACGTTTTGGTTGGTAACCCTGAAGGGAAGAGACCACTTGGAAAACCAAGGCACAGATGGGAGTATAATGTTAAAATGGATCTTAAGGAAATGGTGTAGAAGGATGTGGACTAGATTCATCTTGGTCAGGATTCTGACCGGTCATTGGCTCCTGTGAGTTCGTAATGGATAGAGAACAGATAAACTTACTCTCACCACGGAGGTCAGACCCGTAAGGAATGGGGCTCAATTTTGCGCACGTGTCAGTTCCGCAAACATTTGGACAACACTTCTCGTCGAATGAACATCCGTTGTCAGTTTTGCACCTGTAGAAAGCAATTGGTTACTGTCCTGGAGGGGGGACAATACCCACCTTTTCCTAAAAATTGACGGCACAACACTATTAGGTTAATACAAGTGAAATTCAGTCATGGATAATGAACGTACTATTAACCTGTCAACAAAGACTTTGCTTCATAGACTGATTTAGGTTGTTATTTCTTGGCTCTACAACCCGGTTGTGGGTTTTCGCTACCTCCTTTTCGGAGGTTTCTTGGTCTTGAAGTGTGCATTTATGAGGAGTGAGAGACTGATTTAGGTAGAGAACTCATAAACTTACTCTCATCTCGGTTGTCAGACCCGTAAGAAATGGAGCTCGATTTTGCGCACGACTCAGATCCACAAACATTTGGACAACACTTCTCGTCGAATGAACATACGTAGTCAGTTTTGCATCTGTTGAAGCAATTGGTTACTCTCCTGGAGGGGGGGCAATGGCCACTTTTTCCTAAAAAAATTGATGGCAAAACACTATTAGGTTAATACAGGTGAAATTCAGTCTTGGATAATGAGTCTTAATGGTTGACTGTTACTTTAAAACAGAGATACTTACTTGATTGAGCCGAAGCGTTCGATGTAATTATCAGGATCGTCAGCAAAGCTGTGATGAAAACGAATTCTTTTCTCTCTGCACAAAAGAATCAGGTAATGTTAACGTAGTAAGTTTTGATCTATTGAGTAAGACCAGCAGTTCCATCTAAAATGTATCTGCTATTTAAAAATTAAGCTACAGAATTGTGTGATTTTTACAGGTGTGATAATTTTTTCACTGAAAACTGCATACTCATTCTTTGAAACAAACAATTTTACTTATCAATAAGCTTAGGGAATTATAAAGTCAGACAATAATGAAAGATATACAGCAGAAATTATAAAGTCATTAATCGTGGACATGGTTTGACAAAACACATACACAAAATGGTTTCATCATTACATGGTTTAAAAGTACTTTATATTTTAACAGATGGGAAGAAGGAATATTTATTGTTAGAATAAAGCTGGAGTGATCAAGCACACGTCCACATGCATTTGTATAACACAAGAAGAAGGAAGAGGGAAGAGGAGGAGAAGGAGGAGGAGAAGAAGAAGAATAGGGAGGAGGAGAAGAAGGAGGAGAAGGAGAAGAAGAAGAATAAGGGAGGAGGAGGAGAAGAAGAAGAAGAAGAGGGAGGAGGAGAAGAAGAAGAAGAAGAGGGAGGAGGAGAAGAAGGAGGATGAGGAGAAGAAGAAGAAGAAGAAGATGGAGGAGGAGAAGAAGAAGGGGAGGAGCAGGAGGAGAAGCAAAGTATACTGGTACGGTAAGGAAGTCCCTGTCACGTAGGCGGGTGGACCACATTCACCCTCGCGTATTGCCTCACGGGCTGTGAGGTTACAAATGAAAACAATTTACTGAAACTAAAACACAATTGAAGATGGCTGTCTTCTGGGTTGTTGCGCCGTGGAAACATCAAATCCTACAAAATCACAATTCTTTTAAGTCTAGTATTACACACAGATTCACATACTAGGCCTACTAATTTTCTTTTATATATCAGACATCAACGAGACATTGACACTACCTTCACTAGAGTAGGCCATAATATTTCAATAACCGGTTTAGTTTTGGTAACTGTGACTCACATGCATCCAGTTAACCTTGATTTGACTATCTTCATAAAGCTGAACAGTTGCTCACAGCAACTGTTACGACAAACGACATTAACAATACGTGTCTTCTGATAACAGTTAACTACTTTACATCATACAGGATGGCACAGTATTACAAGAAAATACTCGCGGACCGTATCAAAATCGCAATCCCGGATTGGGCCCCCTGGTTTAGTACCCTTGATAAATTTATTATAATATAATATGCATAATTAGTAATTACTAGTAAAATTTCAAAGAACGAACTTCGACGTTCTGTGTGCAGCTTCCTTAGATCACAAAGTTGAATTCAAGGCTTCGGTCGTCCACGCCCACTTCCACTTCACTGACTAATGTAGATTATTAATGGACAACCTGAAGCAATTGAGAATCAGTACAAGGTCACTATAATTTATCGTCTTTAAAACTCGGGCAAGGATCTTTGCACATGCGTAATAGACACTGCGGATATTTTAACAAGACTAAATCAAGAATGGAAAGTATTCACCGCTACTGTGACCCAAAATGTTGGACGAAATTTGAATGCAAGTACCTATACAAATAAATATGTTTACTGCATGTCACAATTTACATTTAAGACGTCCAGCTGCAATGTATTATCAGTTATTGCAATCACCAAAATTTTTCGTTCGAGTGCCAAGCTGTATACCATTTTACTAAAATCATACCTCAATAAAAGATAAATACATAGCCCTGATGATGGAGGCAGTATGATATCTGAAACGTTGGTAAACATCGACCAGACTACACGGCGCAATAACCCAGAAGACGAAAATCTTCAGACTCACCGCTATGAAAACCTCCAATCCTCCACTTCTTCCAAACTTACAATACAACTGGAAATATTCAGTCTTCATAACAAATTTTAAGGCTTTCAGTTGGTTGTATTTTTAAAATTCTAATTCTGCAACATCACGAACAAATTGGTGTTTCTAAAATACGAAGTTTGTCGAAATTTATTCCAGAGCTAACAAGTCACCTTATCTGGTCTCTTATTGATAAACATACTGTAACATTTGCTGTTAAATTTCCTAATACTTTTTGGAATTCCAAAGAAACAGAATCTCTTCGGAAATCTATCAGCGATGTTGTTCTGTTTGATATGGACATCAATATGTACATAATTTGTCATCATGCTTCTAGAATGCTTCCAGTCTTTGTTTTTTTTAACTCACAACGTTCAACAATAACTCTTTATACTGTCGAAATGTTGAAATGATTCCAACATGGAGACAGTATAAACTTACAATTTGAAACAACAATTACACAAACTTAAGTATAATACTACCAGCATGTAGTGTATGGTTTGGAAAATTTTCTATGGTGCGAAATTTTTAAAAAATAAATAGGCCACTTTCATTTAAATTAAACAAATTTTTGTATGGTATTAAATATTTAAATTAGTAAACTACTTTTATTAAATAAGACAGCGACTACGATATTTTGATAACTATAATTAACATCTGCAATTGAGATGTGAAAATTACGTTGCTTTATACACTACTATAAATACGCACACACTAACCGTGCTACATAGTTAATAAAGACACTAACAAGGTTCAATAAATCGAATATCTAAAACTGTAACGATAATGAAGGAAACTTTAATGGAACATGATTAATAACCCAGAAGACGAAAATTGTTCTGTCTGACGACAGGTTCATATGAACAGGATCCTTCCATCCTTTTCTCGGACTGGGACCTGTTCATATACGTTCTTGGCAGGTGATCCAGAAGTGGTTTGCCATTGCCTTCTTCTGTGTGTGAATGGAGTAATTGTTGGGATGCCACGGAAAAACCGGGGAAGCCCCCGGAGGAAAACTCCGTGTTGCCTAGACCACGGCCTTGCCCAACACAAGTTATAAATTCGGGTACCGCCGGGAATCGAACCCGAGACCCCCCAGGATTACAAGGCCAGCGTTCTAACCGCTAGACCACCACTGCTTTAAATGTGTACATCGTAACTTAGTCGGGTATGATAATATCCGGAAAAGTCAACATTTTCTAAAATATATCTCACTTTCTTCCATTATTGGATTATAAGAGAATCAGAAAGAATATCTGTCCGCCTAACACCAGGTTTTTGCTGTCTAAAACTCGTAATATAACTGCGATAAGAGAATCGATACTGACCCATTATTAGATGCAGAAGTCTTCTCGATATGCTGTGCTGTCCTGCCAACTACTGAACTGGTCGCTACGGATGGCCCAAGATGCTTACATAACCAAGGCAAATGATTATGTGGCGAGAAGTAGAACTAACACGCAAAGCGTAATAGTCGATCTGCATAAACACCACAGATCAGTACACAGGCTATACAGTCACTTCTGTATCTTCGGCAGTCCCCTGGTACCTACTTGAAGCGACACCTGTATTGGGAACAAGCATGATGAATCTCGTCCATACCCTCCTCTCTTTGTCAAGGTCTTCCAAATGGCTTTTTTCCTCCAACAGATTTTCTGACCCAAATCCTGTATGAACTTCCCAAGTCTTGCATTCATGCTACATGCCTCTCCCATCGCGTCCTGTTTATGGGATTGAAAGGAACGTTAAATTAATGTATAAATGATTATGAATCATAGTTTAAGAAAGTGGCATTGAAACAGGTTTTCCATCGAGTTCTTTGGTTTTTCCCTGACAATTATCATTCCACCTTTGCCACATGCCCGTCTATCACCGTCCCAGGAGTTGTGCTTTGACCAAGCAACACAGTATTATTACTTTGAGCCTGGGTTTCATCTCTGGCTGGTCTCGGGCTGATGGTAGTTATACTTTCTGGAAGGAAAGGATGTGGACAAACAACTTGGCATGTCGGTGACGTCACAATTCTAGGAAACTGCTAGAGATTCTACTATAAACTGGACTGCACAACTTGAACTGCTGTCCAAAACTAAAACCTGTCAAATGTTTTCAATAAGGCGAGGTTACGAGCCGCTCGTAATGGTCACTCATGCACCAAGCATTTTACCCTCACCCATTTTGTCGTACTAAGACGTTCTTAAGACGAAAATAACGTCACAGTGACGAACAGCTTGCGAACATTTCTTAGAATTAGCGACTAAACGTGACAGACAATTCACATATTCACTCCACGGCAATTATGACGTCACGGTTAATTTGAAGTCTTACCTAGTACATTCCTTCATACATCTTCACGGTGTGTGGCTTTAATCAAGCACAATTTAATATTGGTGTTGTTGGTTGCATCACTGTGAAACAAGGAGTTTCGGGCAGAAATCATAAAGCTCACATCCGTGTTTCACAGGTTACTAATGGTATAGCTGTTCAGGAATTATTTATCATAGTCAAATCTTGGCTGGTGATATTTTTTTTAAATCCTGTTACTTCTTTTACTGCTATGGAGGTTAAGTTAGAATGGACAGTAGTGCAGCTATTTTACTGAGCTATGAAAAATGTCATTTTAACGGTGAAATGGCGCGGGGTCATACATTTTTCTTGTTACATTACAACCGACCAAGACCAAATCAGGACCGTTCTTCGGTTGTCATTGTGTCCAGACTGTACTTTCAAGCTATCCTTCACGTAGAGAAACAGAGGTCTCATAGGCTGTTCTATGTGTCCTCGGCTGGGATCGACCATTACGTCATCATTGTAAATATGTAGGAATAATTTACTAAATAAAGGAGGGCAATGCAATCCAGTTACATGTCGAGTGGCGACAACTGGAGGGAGGTGTTTTGTCGCAGGTATCGCCAATGGAAAGGGGGGGGGGGAACCAGTTAGATGCTTTTTAGTCTGAGCTACAGAAACAAGTGTTAAATAAACCACAAATATTTTACATTTTATGCATTTTGTGATTGTTAGCATACACAATATACATGCAAAAATATTTCTAGGGCGACATGTTTCGACATCACAAGACAATATTCAGGCCCTTACAGATACATTATATAATTTGAAATAAAATTATTTATTAAATTGTGTAAAATTATTATCTTTTTTGCTAAAAGTGTTGAACTTATCAGTCAAAAGATTAAAGTATTAAAATAATTGTAGAATTATGAACATTTGCTAGTGTGATTTACGTAGGCTAAGAGATCTAATATGAGACCCAGTACAAACAAACAAACAAACAAATAAACACGTACACATACAATGCACACCAATTTTTAATTATTCTTTTAGGTCAGGGGTCGGCAAACATTTTTTCTAAAGGGCCAAATGGTAAATATTTTAGGAGCTGCGGGCCAAGAGGCAAACTCGCGGATGTTTATATAGGTAATCCTACTTATGTAACAAGAAAAAACTAAGTTTTAACAAATTTATTGAACAAAATGTAACGTAATAATAATAAGTAGACTACAATTGTTTGAAATACAGCTCTACTAATGAGAAGAATGGAATTGCCTGTTATGAGATAACATTTCACCAAACTGAGGTTTAAATTCAGTACTCCCGATCATCAAAATTGATTGTAAATGTTCATCCGTTAATGCTGACCTGTATTGAGATTTTACATATTTCATATTTGAAAATGTCTTTTCCCACAGGTAGGTGCTGCCAAATACAGATATCAATCCCCGAGCATATGATCTTTATTGACCGTATTCATCGCTTGGAAGACATTTATAGAATTCTGTTAGATTCTTCTCTTGAAATTTGCTTTTTAGCATGGCATCACACTGCAGATTAATCACTTCCAATTGAAAGTTACGTGGAAGCTTCTCAATTGTACAGTCAAATGAATTTTGAAATATGGACATGTCTTCTGCACTTGCATCAAGATCCGAGAAACGCTGCTGGACCTGTAGTTTGAGTTCAGAAAATATATCCGCTGCAAATTTGTGTGGGAGTGGAGATTTCACTTCTTATTTTAATTTTTGACAGCATGGGAAATGCACAAAGCAGTTTGAAATTTCAAAAAATTTAAATATGTAAAATCCGTTCTTAGCTCGCGGGCCGTACAAGAAGAGGCGGTGGGCCGTAGTTTGCCGACCCCTGTCTTAGGTGAATACATTGCTTAGGTACATTATATTGTGCGATAGAAAATAAGTCATTAATGAATTGCAATTAGCATGCATTTACGTGTTATTTGATGGTATGCAGCATGCATGTTGACCCCCTGAGCCCTGATTTCAAAACGTTACGTAATCTGCATTCCAAATAAAAATACGTCTTACCTGCTGCTCCCTCTCTGAGTGCCGGGCGATAAAAACGCACTTACATTTTAACTATAATTCATTAATGACTTATTTTATACCACGCAATATAATACATCCATCTAAAAGAGCAATTAAAAGGTGCGTGTACATTGCGTGTTTGTGTGTACATGTTGTACTGGTTCTTATATGAGATCTTCTAGCTCACAAAAACTGCACTGGCCAATATTCATAATTCTACACTTATTATAATATTTTTTATTTTTTGAATAAAAGTTAAAAACTTACATATGAAAGGAATATTAGACAATTTAAAAAGTACATTTATGTAATTTTTCTCATATTGTATAAATGTATCTGTAAGAGCCTGAAGATATCCCCGTGAGGTTCGAACATGTCGCCTTAGAAGTGTTCCTATTGTGTGTGATGGAACCTCCATCTTATGTACATAAACCATAAACAAACAAATAAATATGATATATGAAGAACCGAGGAAACGTACGACAAATTTTCGGATAGCTGGCAATAGTCCGAGATTCAATAGCAGTTCCTCTGAATTATAAATCCAAAGCGTTAGAAGATAAATATATTGACCTCTTCTGCTCCTTCAACATATTCGTATAAATGAAAAAACTGCTGATGATGTTCTGGCTTGTGACGCCATGTAGACTCGTAGGTAGGTACCAACATTTCGGAAAAAGAAACGCTCTCCACCTTCTAGGTTTCAGTTCCACTTTACAGGAAATACGCCGATGAGTAGTGGGATTTCGATCCCCTGACCCCAGCGTTCGCCAGAATTGTTTACCTCTATGTGCAGAACGCGAGTGTGGAGTAGGTCCGTGACGTATGTAACCTTGGAAGTCACGTGCTACACTACTAGCAGACCGAAAAACGTCGCGTTTATTGTAATTTGATGTAAATTTTACTGGTAATACTTTAAAACACTAGAAGTTATAAAAGTCAGTAATAATAAAATAACTAAATGAATAACGTTACTGCTGACATTAGACGTGTAAGAAATATCTTAATACTAAAGATCAATGTTTACTAAGAAACAGGGGAGTTACGCATGCGTAAAACAGGCCGCTTGCGTCACATGGACGTCTGTAACTCTCGCGTAGAGTGTAGATATACAAGTACAAACTAATTTATAATCCTCAAAGTTGAGAACTCTTCAACACTTCTCAGAAACCGGAAATGGTGTCCTTGACCATGACAAATGGCAAACAAAATATGACCAATAAAACAATTAATTCTCTATTTAGTCTTCGAACGCCACTCGATTCAAACGGATCTGACAATGGGTAGACAGTAACGGATCGCTGCTCCAGTTGTAAGGCTGCACTGTTCTACTGCTATTGCTAGCTTGGAATGTAGCCATCCTATTTTGGCGTATTTCGTAAAACAAGCTGTACTGAAAATCAATCATCATATAGTCATATATGTATATAACGAGGCTTGAAATTATCTGATCTACATGCTAACACTTTGTCAAACCATCAAGACTTTGATTTGCTTTGCTTCGCTTTATTTGCGGTTGAAAATAAATCTTCACGTCTTCTAGGTGTTTTTTGTCAGTTTAATAAAATTTGATAACGTACAGTTATTATATTAGATATAGGATTAGGCTGTTATTATGTACATGTATGCTCCATTCATGTAAAGACTATTTTAAGTTCTTTAACCTGCACATATATGTTATGAATCAACAGATTTTGATAGAACCTTGTACTGAAAATTGCGGCCGAATGGTTAGCATTCCTGTATGAAAATATACAAATAAGGAATGTGTGGGATAGAGCAAAATGCTTGAAACTTAGTAACAGGATATATTAAATGGACTGGAGGTACCCAATATTGTTTTCGTAATGGGTTTACAACACATTAGATTTGTATAAGCAGAAAACGATATTAACTTCAAACCTTAAAGTAACTCATGAGGCACAGTGAAAACGAAGTGTCCTTTCGTAAACTAATATCTGAGAGTTTTTATAACTGAAGCTTTAGTAGAAGGTTGTCAAGATTCAGGCTTCGTACAGGCGAACGCTCCACAGCGATTCTGGCAACACTTCGATCGCCCTCTGCAGTCCCCATCGATCCGACACGCACTGGAACAGACCCATGGACCAGTTGGCTTCTCAGGGCACCGCCCAGGCTTCGCTGCAAAGTTATATCAGCTAAATTAGACATTTTAAAATGAGCATCACTTGGAACATATTTGGCGCTTGCAAGGCGCAGGCGAGGGCCATTTCATTGGAGAAACAATGGAACAGAATATCGACAGAAGGAAACAAGCTGTCGATTATTTTCTTTATTAAGAAATTTCCTTATCTTTTGCTCCGAGACTTATTCTATTGTTATAAAATACGATGTCGTAATAGAAAGGCCCTATTTTATGTGTAATCCTGAAATTCTTATTTCGAAGCAATAAGCTCAATATTGAAGGAAATTATTATATCTTAATATCCCCAATTATCAAACCATCTATGGAGTCTACAGTCGTGTTAAGTAAACTGCAACATTAAACTTGTTGTTAGGTGTCTTCCAGATTTGTTTTAATAGTACCATGTTTGTGGTGGGCACATCGTAACTTGTAGCAACTTTTGATCCACACAGAAAAAACTTGTTAGCTGCTAGATGCCCTCCCCTTCACTTTTCGGTGACCTTCAATAATAATAATTATGAACTTGCTATGAACGACGCATTTTGAACTTGTCAGTAACAAAATAATTTCCAGGCTCCCAGTCGACCTTCAAGTAAAATTTATATTTGATGAACAAGGCGTATGAAATAATAATTTTGCTGTTTTATTTGTGAAATGTATCTGAAGTACGATCACAAATCTCAAGCGTTTGATGCCAGAATGCGCAGGTAAATATATGGACGTAAGGAAGAGTAATTAAGTAAATGGGGAATTACATTTAGTTACGTAACGACGTTTTCTTTGTATTCTTTGGAGTCTTCAAACAAAACAGGTTACGGTAGGATGGATAATTAGTACGGATAAGAAATAAGAACGTACATGGTATTACACATGTGGTCTTGGACATTTATTAAATAATATTGGCACTTATAATAAGTTGTAAACTGAATGTTGATTTATTGATCTATTTAATGACGATTTTCCATCTGCGTAGATTACATAGTATCAAAGGATTAATATAAATAATGACTTGAAAAGAATGTTGAAGGAGCATAAGTAAATTGTCTTAAGGTAATGTAATTGAGATGCAAGCCTGGTAGAGCGAAAGTTGTTAGTGGGAAAGGGGCACTTAGGAAATCCGATATGTCAACATCATAGGCGTATCTGTCATAAATGAAAGAAAGTAGGCTAAAAAGTTGTCTCGAACATCATTTGCTATTTAAAACAACCGGAGATCTCTAAAAGAAGAATTGTTATCAAATAAAGTGTTTTGAATTTAGCAATTCGTGAATATGCAGCCACTGTTCTCCCTTCTTCAGGTCACAGTGGCGGGTCACTTGTCACATTTTGCTCACAATTTTTGAATTCGTTAGTTGCAAATTCCAAATTCTACGACAGAGGAGGAACTGGTCAAAATCGGGCTGTAGTGCCAAATAACAAGAGCTTTGTCCTCAAGTTGCTATAAGTTAACTTTTAATTATTTGTAAGTTTTGCATTATTTGCATAATCGGAAAGAGAGGGAGGGGAAGGACCTTTTAAAAATTGGTCAGTGAATGAAAAATATATTCATAAAATAACTGATATCTAGTTCTAAAACACAACACAAAAAGAAATAGCTGCAGGTATTTCCATGAACCTTTTACGAAATCACACACAGAGCCTGAGCGGCTTCTCGTAAACGGCAATGGACATCAGAATTCCACAAATAGAGAATTTCCTGACTACCTTAGCGACTCGTAGCTTCTCATTACTTTTATTATGGAGTTAGATCGGAGAGAAGTTAGGCCTATGCGTGGTGTGTCAGCAAATAAAAGACAGATTTTCGCCAGGAAAGGAATACAGTGGATTCCGATTAATTAGGACACATCGGGACTAGAACACTTTGGCCCAATTAAGCGGCTGCCCTAATTATGCGAAGTTCCACGTAAAGAGTTAAAATGTTTTGTTCTTTAAGATTTGTCCCAAATAAACCGGAATCTACTGTATTTGGCCACTGCAGGGGCAAGGAGTTTTCTCCCCTACCGGTGAATAATGTGAATAAAGCGACCGAAGCGTGAAGCCGACAACTCACACATCTCTCTAAAGCAGCGATGAACAATTCGTCCTCAACTCACCCTTTAAGTTCAAGTACAACTGTATGTTGTTTTTAGCATTTATATTCTTTTATGTAGTTTCTATTTTTTAGAACTGCTATAAATTAAATTCTAGAAATGCTGCGTGACATGGTAAGACACCAGTAACCCAGCAACACGCACAGAAATAAGTGATATTACACTAAGTACTTACCACGGGTAACATGGTCTCGCGCCGTGACAGAAATAGTGCAAACAGTTCCTCCGCAGCCCGTACGACAACACTTGTTACTGCCCTCACAGTCGTTGTCAGAAAAGCATTTCATATCGCAAATCCCAACGGCCACAGGTGGTGGGCACGCCCCCGGTTTAGCGTCTTGCTGGGCGACGACACAAGAAATCGCAAAAAGCAATAGCAGACTTATTGCCGATGTGACTCTACCCATGTTTCCGAAAGAGCGTTACTGAACACCTGCTCGCGAAGCAAACGTATGACTCAAAACAGGATCTCCTTGTAGAAGACTAAAGATTATCCACGACGTTACTGATGCTGAAGAAAGCGCCTTCTCACGGAGTGACTGGTAATAAGATTCTTATGAGGAATTTTGAAAGAATGACGCAGCTAAAATTATCCGATTTGATAAACTTACCTAGGTCCAAACATGGGAAATAAGCAACCACAAAGCAATTACTGACTATGCTGGGGATAAGAAAATCCAATTACATAACAGGAAACTGTGGTCTTTGGTTGGAAATAGGTCCAAGCTGTGGCTATATTAGATTAGGTCGCACGTTTTATTTATTTGCAAAGGCCTGATACAAATGTAAAATGGTATTACTTAAGCAGAGTTAGCGTGAGGACAAAATTCTTGTTTTAAAAGTTTATTAATTTAAATCTTACGATTATGTTCACTATACGTTTGGCATTTCGTTTTATAAGGAACTCTTGTCTATTGGCGACTTTAAGAAATTTTGAATGAATTGTAACGTTTAGCTTTGCGCTAGAATACTCGTATGCCATAATGAAAGTCCAAGATAGGCAGGAGGGTTTGCAATTGAATGGGACACATCAGCTATTGGCATATACTGATGATGTTAATTTATTGGGAGACGACATAAATACAATAAAGAGGAACGCAGAAGTTTTACTAGAGGCTAGTAGACCGGTGGGGCTAGAAGTAAATTCAGAAAAAACTAAGTACATGTTAGTATCTCGTCAGCAGACAGGCGGGCAGAATTATCTTAGGGTGGCTAATAAATCCTTTGAAAGGGTTACAAAGTTCAAATATTTGGGAATAACAATAACAAATCAAAATGATACTCGTGAGGAAGTTAGGAGGAGACTAAATTCTGGAAATGCTTGCTACTTCTCAGTTCAGATTATTTTGTCTTCCCATCTGATTTCTAAGGACCTGAAAATTAAAGTATACAAAACAAAAATTTTGCCTGTTGTTTTATATGGGTGCGAAACATGGTCTCTCACTCAGAGGGAGGAACACAGATTGCAGGTGTTTGAGAGTAGGGTGTTGAGGAGGATATTTGGGCCTAGGAGAGAAGACGATGGGGCATGGAGAAAACTGCATAATGATGAGCTTAAAAATCTGTACTCCTCCCCCAATATTGTCAGGGAGATTAAGTCGAGAGGAATGAGATGGGCGGGGCATGTAGCGCGCAAGGATGGGACAAGAGTTGTGCACCGGATATTGATTGGGAAGCCTGAGGGGAAGAAACCGCTGGATTTTGTTGGCCCAGGACAGGGTCCCGTGGAGGGCTATGGTTAATTCGGTGATGAACCTTCGGGTTCGGTAAGCCATCTACTTAGTTAGTTCAGTACCCCTAAATATAATTTCTCTTCAACTTTGTACCCACAAAGTTGTTGGTGTATAATTCAAGTTATACATAGTATATAATCTACATCTAAAATAAATTTCAATACTGATTATTCAGTGTTTATCATAAAATAATATATATTTTTTAAATTTCACGTACCCCCTAAGATGTGTAAGATTTGAGGTTTTCACAGCGGTGAGTATGAAGATTTCCGTCTTCTGGGTTGTTGCGCTGTGTAGTCTGGTCGATGTTAACCAACGTTTCAGAGGTCATACTGCCTCCGTCATCAGGTTGAACACCACTGAGTTAGTTCACTTATCTTTACATTAGTTCATGTATTTGCGACTACCTTCACAACAGATGGCGCGGCAATTCACTTATCTTTACGTTAATTCATGTCTTTGCTAATAGAGGGCGCAGCAGGTCACCTAGCTTTGAGTTTTTCGATGTTTCTACTCGGCTTGTAGGATACCCAAGGAGGTTGACGGGTCAGAAAATTTTCGCGGGCACATTAGTTTATACCTTCCTAACAGATGGCGCGACAGTTCACTTATCTTTACGTTAGTTCATGTCTTTACCAATAGAACGCGTAGCAGGACGCCTAGATTTGTGTTTTCGATGTTTCTATCCGGGTTATAGGATACCCAAGGAGGTAAACGGGTTAGAAAATGTTCGCGGGCCGCCATTAGTTTATACCTTAACAGATTGCGCGGTAACTCACTTATCTTTACATTAGTTCATGTGCGTTACGTAACATCATTTCCTATAAGCCAGTGCTTCCCAAACCTGGGTAAAGTACCCAAAAAGGGGTTTTCCTTTGGGTAACGACACACCTCGCAATACACATTAAAATTTACAATAAAGGTGTAGAAGTACTCTGAAGAAAGCGATCAGTCATTGTGCACCGATCCTCTAAAACAGTCAAACAAGTATTTATTTGCTCCCAATTTTGCAGAACTAGAAAATAAGATGGAGCAGTTTCATTATACTCATTAGCTAGGACCTGGGTGAAGAAATATTCATGGCAAATAATTACCAAATTTTTTGTGGCTGCTAAAATGTTTAGAGATGTTTAAAATATGTTTTCTGTGCAGTTAGTGTTTTACCTACATTGGGCAAAAAGGACTTCTGATAAGTAGTTTTGGGTAATGAAAGAAAAAGTTTGGGAAGCAGTGCTGCAAGCACTAGACAACACCTACAAGCTTTGTGGCTGTGGTAACACTTCAAACCACCAGAAACCTACTTGCGGTGCGATGGTAGTCAGCTAATGGCATCTTTTAAACTCATTTCAATATGGGCCATTATTCAACATTTAACTTCAATACAAGACAGCTAACTCCTGGGTTGCTGAGACATGGCCTGGTAGGTACAGACGTTTCAGAAGTGCTTACTGCATCCAAGTCGATAAGTAACGGTACATACCCGACAAGGGCAAAGATATGAACTTGCTTGTTCTATTATCAGATGTCACTGCTTGACATTCAATCATTCAAACATACACAAAAAACTGACGCTATCCATATATTTTTTAAGATCCTTCTCAGGCAAATGCCAATCTCACCAAATGACTCTCCATTTGGGTGTTGGTACAGGGATGAAAGGGGAGAGAGAACTCCTTTTTTTCAAAAGATCTTTATTATGGTAATGAACTCAGTTAACTGTGGGTTGGTAATGCCAATGTGACTTCCATTTTCTTTTAAATACATACATTTAATGTGAAAAGTGAGCCATCAACCAACAAAGTTTGGAACTGTATATGTGAAAGTGTTCATATTACTATTTACATAAAAAACACTCAATGTGATATATATGTTATGTATAAGTCAATAAGAGCATTACTTTTACAATGCTCTTACGTTTGTACCGTCTTCTGGCCAAACCTGCTTAAATAAGAAGTTCAACTATCAAGACAGATGTACCACAGAACCTCACATCAATAATGTTCCTCAACTGACTTTCACTTTATACACACACATTTAAAGTCACTCTCAACTGAAGTAACACAACATTCACTCTCACATACGAAGTAACAATTGGTACGAATTCGCTTAGTTTAACGTAACAGCATGACTCATCCGAACTTTCCAAACTGTTCTGTGCCAGTCCTGTACTGCCACATTCTACAAGACCAAAAGATCGTTCTAGTTTCCTACAGCAAAACGTAACGTTGTAGACAAAAAAATGACTGACATTATTACTGTACATCTTTGCTGTCATTCTCTTGGGTAGATACCAGGCTTAGATGGTGCCTGTAGCACAGAGCAATTGGAAATAGAATTTGAAGCTCTGCATGGCCTTGTCTCAGTCTTCACAAATGATGGTCTGTAAGGAAAGAAATTCTAAAGTCAGAACAAAATCTCATGGATTTGAGGTATAGAGTTTTCAGTGTAATGGCTGCATCCAAATGTCAAACACAAAAATGCGTACTTTAACCCTTGATGGCACTCAGAGGTTCAACATGTTCATAGGAGCACACCCATGTTCCTACTCTTATGTTTTCAAATAAAATGTCACTGAATGACAAGCGACAACGTACAAGAACAGATTTCTCATGATCCAGCAACCGGCGCTCACACTTCCAGTACAGTGTACATACAATGCAGATTTGTAATAAGGTTAAGATATCAGTTTTATAAAGAGATTTGCCAATATTTGGATCTGAAAAGGTGCATAAACAGTAAAATCTTGTATTTCCATTCCCAGAAGGTATATTTTTCATACAATTTACATTTTTTTAATCCAATTTATTTTCTCGCCATTTCAATAGTTTCTGTTCCTGCAAAATATGCCATGTCATTTCATCTAATTTCCCATGTTTCATGGAATTTTGTTGACTTGTCAACTTTTCTTTTTAACTGCTGGTTACTCTTAAGATGGCTACTACTGTTATAATTACTCAATATTTTAGCTGAGAAAGGAAAACCACTTCCTTTGAAGAAAAACTAAACATACTACAAGTCGTGACAAATATGTGGTGACTCATATTTCCTTGGTAAAACAATTTGGATTATCAGAATTGACTCTAAATATAACGATAAAAAAATACACACCAGTGTAACAAATATCAGATTAGTTTTTGATGTACTTACATCGATCTTACTATGCATTAAATTTAATAGTGTTCAATGAATGATTCTACGCCTTGTAATATGATTACTTCCTATTCATTGTCAATATAACTATAGCCCAAACTGTAGGAAGATGTAACCAAGTCAAAAATACTTTGTGTCTGATGTTTGACCTGACTTGGACTAAAGGAAGAAGGACTGGATTATATGTATTTATTGTGTTAACAGTTGTAGAAGACTTCTGCAAAGGAAAAGCTTGGGATCAAGTTATGCAACATATCATACATTCAAGAGACAGAAGTTATGACCCCGAATTACACGCTACGGAGGGAGAAACAGAACAAAACTAAGGAATAACTATGGAACCAGATTAAGCTAACTTATTCCATCTTTTGGCTAAAACTTATAATACAGTGTCCATCTCCAAATAAAATAATTTATTATACATGTGAAATGTCCATGTCTGAGTGGTGCCTACCAGAATCCAGAGTATTGTTTTTCTCAGGCCCACTCTGTGGTGGCCAGCCTATTGCATACAATTTTAATATAATTAATATTACTTTAGCCATTACACAAATGCAGCTATTACACAAGTAAACACACATGCATTATTTTAATGGAAAAAAGTTCCAAAGTTACATACCTTCATATTCAATATAATTGTAAAACATCCAGTAAAATACCATTACAACGTTCTATATATTAATGGTCTTTCAGAAAAATCTTTTAGAGTACCTCCAATGGTTTATAAAACCACCGTGTACTAACAGTAATCCATGAATATTTTAAGCAAATCCTACATTTAAAAACATGTAATGTTATTTTGTCCTCACTATGAAATATGACAAAGAATTTTTCAGCAAATTACCTCTGAAATATGCAGTTTAAAACTTCATAAATCCAATACTGACATTACTAAAACATACTGAATTAGGATACAAGAGAATCATTTTTCTGATTTTCACTACACTCAATAATAAGTTAATCAAATCAAATATTTTCTTTTTGTTATTTGTCACACACCAACCACGTTAAAAAATTCCAAAAGTTACACATTCATGTTTTATGATATGCACCATTTACTGTTTACTTTCTACATACTGAACCAATACTGATCAAAACAAAATTAACCCCAAAACAATTACTTAGCACCAGTGACAAATATCGCCGACATCCAGCACTTTCTGAGAGAAAACAGGACAGACTGAACCTTCATATCATGAAGAGCAGAATTGGTAAGGATATAAATTACAATATAGCAAGTCTCAGGTTATTAGAAATCTTGGATCATTTCATTTTTGAAATCTACAGACTGGCAGAAACTTCTGAATTTTAAAACAGGAAATAGCATTGTCATGTAAGTTTTGGATTACTCTGAATAAACGGGTCGCTCATACACACTTGGATTTATGAGTTCCACTGCATATTTTTTGATTTACTATATAAAAGTAGTGCATAAAACTTAGATAAAATAGTTTAATATCTTGAACTTAAATACTGACTGTCTAATATAATCACGTATCAAATATAAGCTGGGCATTTAATGGGTACACGAAATTTCTGAGAATTACAAAAATGTTACTGCAAGTCGATAAAAAAGAAAACTTTAGTACCAGAAAGACAGATTATCGTATTTACTTGTGAATTTATTTTGTGGTAATTTGATGATTATATCTACCCTAGGCATTTCATAAACTTTTTATTACCAGCTTTTCCTTCAATTTATTTTCTCCTGTGTGACATTGTTACCATTTCCATCTGCATCAATCTGAAATACTCTTTACCAACGAATGCCACATCTAGGTGTTATCACTCCTGCTTCATCTCACAGAGATCCTATTTTCAAATCTTGGCCCAGAGACCAAGTACCCTGACTATAAATTTTCACGGCAAATGCAGGGATAGTACCTTAAATTAAGTTGCAACTACTTCCTTCCATGTCCTTTCCAATGAATTGTTTACTGATCTGATAATTTCATGGTATACATTTTGAGAGCTACCAACAGCATTGTTTAAAAAAGAGGAGAATTTCTAAATGTTTCTCATAAAATGCCACTGTTAACAGTAGATTCTGAACTGTTTAGTCACATTGTTACTATTCACACATGTCGTTAAAGAAATAATTAACGTTAGGATTTACAGCTGAAAGAAAGGATGACTTGGATATATTAGGTGAGTCGGTTTAAGAGGAACTCTTCAAATCATTAAAATTCTAATAGTAGAAACTACATAAAATGCCTTACATGTATTTTTATTAAGGGGGCCTTGTGATTGGATCTGCTGCCACTGAACAAACATACCAATGAACTCCATTCTGAATAGGAACCCCATTTCTCTAGACCTTTGTTGTGGTCCCTCTATTGCCCTCTTTAAACAAGTCCATTACATTAGAAGAATTATCTAAATAATGGCATTCATTTTTATATAATTGTTTCCAGCTGTTACTTGAAAAGGGTGTACTGCTTCTGAAGATCTTTATAAAGTTAAATATTTTATACAGATAACATATCCACCGAAGCACTTAACAGATGGTATTCGTGTCCAGACACCATCAAGAACTTTGATCAGTCTGGTGATCCTATAGTGAAATGTGATGCAGTACATTTTTTAAAAGCCTCAGAACAGAAATTCCCTATGTAATTTAAAAGGCATTCCCCTTGTTATCCACCACTTGCCAACATCTGTAGCAATATAAATACACCATTTAATCGATGTAAATGGCCTCATTCCAAATTCAAGCAGGTAAATAAACCTACTACTGGGAGGGACACTGATCTCAAAAGAGCAACATTACCAAGAATAAGCTGTAGAATGTAACAGATAACATCCCAAGAGTTCTGGTAGAAGAGATACAGACCCACCCCCTTTATTCTTTGCTGTTTGATCAGGGTCACAGAAAGGTAGCAAAGTCTACACAGATACGGGTACATACTGCATAACCAGAACCAGTCACATTTTCCTGACGTGGGGAAAAGGGGAATGTGAAGGTCTGGCGGATGTAAATCTAAAGAACAATATCTCAACGCAAGCCAGCAAAATATTGCCAACTATTTCTCCATATAATGGGATAAACCTGTCAGTTGGCAATGTGCTGGGTATATAATGGAGAGATTTTAAATCTACCGCCAAACCTCCTTTAATGCTGATACTGGCGATGGACAAAGTGAGGTGTTATACTGGGATTTGATTGTACTAAAGGAAACAAATGTTCATAATGCATAAGGCCTTCAACTCAGCATGTTCCAGTCCCAGTCCACTGGAAAATTACACAAGTAAATACGATACATTTTACATCTGTCAAACTTGAACGGTGAATGCTTACTGCATGCACTTTATTCCTAAATGAAGTTAACATTCTTATACAGAATGCATAAATTCATTAGTGTACTCGTCCTACCCATAATTCGAGTACCCAACTAACGCTTACTCAGCACTTGCTTCATTCACCGAGACAGGGAATGGCTGCGTTCTCGTCCCTCGTCGCTTGTGGCCCGAATGTCACCTAGCCTTTGGTGTGGTGGAATTTTGTCGAAGAACGGATGGTGCAAGGCTTCTCCCAGTGTCAGGCGTGAACTAGGTTCATACTCCAACATGCGAGCTATCAAATCAAATAACTGGTGATGGTCTTCATCATCTGTGTTTTGGTATCTCTGTAACAACAGACATTCCATTCTGTGAATTTCATGGTTATGAAGGGGCAGATAAAATGCTACTAATTACCACCGACAGACTGGATAGAATTCATAACTTTAATAACGTGTGTAATAATGCTGTCAATGTCAAAGGGCCTATAGCTTATTTTTCAACAAAGCATCAGTTTGCTCCATAAATTTAATCAAAATTAACAAGTGAATAAATAAGAAATTAATGGATTAAATGTATAAAGACACTAGTACAAAACCTACACCAGTACTGTTTGTCATCTCTCATTTGTTTTATTCTCTGCTTTTGTAATACGGAATTTCCACCTTTGATCTGTAATTTACCCCATTCTGTATTAAAAACAAAATTATAGTAAGCAATTATTATCGAACAGAACCAGACACAAGACATTTCCATCAACAGTACTTTTCACCGTCTGAACAGAACGCAAAGAGATGGACTACTAATTTTCATCTGAAACAAAATGACACCCATCAGCCCAAGAAAACAAATGGCATACTCTGGCAACTTCACCTTTTGGATTTCAGGGTGCAAAACCATTTTATGTAAGGAAAGGTTTGTGGCACATGGAAGATTTACACTAAAAATCCCAATGCAATGAAAAGTGGTTTCATATAAGCTAAACAGATTTAATGAACTTACATGCAGAGGCTTGCAATTTTCACGAACATAACGGCCAGCAGAACTCTTCTCATCCCAGTCCAACTTGCCATGGTAAAAGTACTTGGTCTTGGTTTTCCTTGCCATTCTAAGAAAAAATTAAACAGTAATGATATAGTCATATGTCAACTACATGTAGCACAGAAAGATGTAATCATCATATTTATGTATGCACAGAAGTCTCTATGGAATTCTACATTGTGTCCAGTTGCAGTCACATGTTTATCATATGTAAATGAAGTGTATGTTCAATACAGAATCTTTTCAAAGTCTTTAATTTAAACTACAACACAGCAAGAGGAAGACTATCTCAATGAATGAAAACTGATGGCTAGTTATCACTTTCTTAATTGTCTTATGTGTCAGAAAGTTGCGGTGTGTATGCCTGGAGTTTATACCTTTCCTCAGAATGCTTAATCCTCCAACATTTAAGTCATTCTCAATTTAGTCAAACTGCATTATACTTTATTTCAGTCTGAAATGCTACAGAGGTTTCAACAATACCAAACTACTATTTACCTGTATGGAATGGGACCAAGAATTCTTTCCATCATAGCAAGATGTTCTCTGTTATCATGCGTTTGGAATAACGTTATGCCAAGGTACAATTCAAATATTATGCAGCCAATTGACCAAACATCACATGGTTGTGACCATCCTAGTTCTGAAAATTGACAAGAGATGATTACTGAAGATGTAACTGTAGATCTACACATACATACAAATACACAGCACAATTTTCATAACAGAAATAAGAGAAGATGTGAAATTCAAAACTATATCAAAATAACCAATCAGCATTCCACTTGTAAAACATAATGCATTTCTTGGTAGCAGAGATGGGATGCTGTTACTCCTTATGAAAGAGTACAATCTGTTCCGTTTCCAAGAAATTGTATTTTATTTTGGAACACGTTTGCTCTAATCTAACACAAATAGCATAAGTGATTTCAAAACAAATAGGTTAGTTTCTTATGTACATTTATTGCACTAAACATTTAGAATAAATTATACAACAGCAGAAAATGGATCTGACCAACAAAAGCAAAACCCCAGTAAAAATGTGAATTATATGTGAACATTCCAGTTTCTTTTTACATATATCATAATTGCAAAATCAGCACCAAATAAATCAAGTTAACCTATATTTTACATCTTTCAGGTTAAGTGAATCCACAAATGTACACAGTGCAAAGAGCATTTAAAAAAGAAGCAAGAATTTGAAGAAAGCCAGTCACAGTTCACTGTTCTCAGATTGCCATACAGACAGAAATATACTCCTGTTACATTATTTGTAGTAAATTTATTAGCATCATATCAAAGAGCAGTATGACAAACTGGCAGAACGCAAACCATCCAAGACAAACTGCGTAGACGGGTGGGAGAAGATAAAATTAAGTTCCTGCACTGCAGCAGAGGGATTCCATCAGTAGTATGTATAAATGTACCCAGTATGAAATTTGAGAAAGATAATAACAAATGGTCCCAAAGACATAAAAATGTTTATGCAAAATAAAGAAATGTGATATCCATGCTGGGTTTGCATCACATGTCGGCCATTAGCCACTGAAACAAAACAACAATTGAGTGAAACTTTACAACACTGTTAGATGTCACTGTTCTGTGATGGAGTGAATCATAACATGCCAGTCGTCAAGGCATCACCACAGGAGAAATTACAGTACATGGAATGGTATGAACAGTTTAAGGAGACAAAAGGCACAGTTGTCCATGCAGATAAAGTGTGGAACTTATTTGAGAAGTGTTTGATCATAGCCTGGCCAAGCACACATGAGTAGAAGCCCATTGGCTGTACATGTTTCAGTCAACAGTGCATAAGCTTTTGTGCACAAGTTGCAACTCGATTTTTATATAAGTATTTAACTTTCTTACCTGCAGTACCTACTATCATACATAGACAAGGAAATGTCTAAGGCAATGGTCATAAGAGTTTAGATTTCTCCCTTTCTTCAAATCTCATTACATGAAAAGTCATATTTTTAAACACCTTCAATCAAGGGGGAAAAATGTATACTAAATAAACTCGGTGACTTATGTATCTCAGTATTGTACACATATGCACACTGATTACCTGATTATCAGGCATTCAACCTGTTTTAATACCATAATCTTATGACATACAATGAACTAAACATAATTCATAGAAATTAAATACAAAATCTAAGTGTAGAGAACACAGAGAGCTGCACAATTACAGAACACTAAGTAAATGAGAAAAGAATACTATAGAATGTCCATCACTTGTCTTAAAGCTAAGGAATCTGAAGCGAAACACACTAATAGTTTCTTAAACAGTTCTAAATTTAGTTTGCTATGGCTGCTATTCAAGTTAATTTGTTCAACTATGGTAATTAAAGCTTTATAATTGTTATGTGTAACAAAGGCTTTCTTATCTTGACAAATATACATCTCCTCACTCTGTAAGTTATCACAATACACAACATCTAAATCATCTTACGTTAGATATCCCACTTCAACAATTTCAGCTTACCAAGAATGACTTCAGGTGCTCTGTAATGCCTCGTAGATACAATGGTGCTATGATGTTCATGGTCAAAAGTTGCACTACCAAAATCAATCAACCTTACATCTGTCCTTTTCACACGCCTGATATCTCGTTTCTGCAGACAGACGCAAAATATAGACCGTGTTACCTGAATTATGTTAACTTCTGATGTATTTACATTTAAAAATAAATTGAAAAAAAGACTGAAAAAGCTTACCTTTTTACTGTTGTAGCAAATTTCAAAGTCAGAGTCCACAAAAAGAATGTTCTCAGGTTTGAGATCAGTATGAGTTAATTTGTTATCATGAAGAAATTTTACAGAATAGCACAACTGGTACGCAACATGACGAACAGCGTCCAGTGGATACGGCTGGTAATTATTATCTTTCTGAAATATAAAACAAAAGATTATCACCATACTAGCATCACTGCTAGCATATACAAATATTTCAAACAGAAACATGGAACCCATGAAAGTTTGCTTACAGACATTCCATAAATTATAAACTTAACCTATAATTTCAGGTGTATCAACAACTCTGAAAAGCTAGAATAACACAAAAGAAAAATGAATGCCCCCTCAACATCCAAAACAATTGGAGGGAGAGGGGAGAAGCACTGGCACACTCGTGCAACCACCCACACACAAGGGGCACTAGGAAAAAATGCATGGTACTTGTGGGTTATCGGGACACATCACATTAAAAATAGGTTAGGTTATTTTAGGTTACGTTAGGTTAATGTGTGTGGATAAATGACATATACTTGAAAGTTATTATATTTTATTTCAATAAATGACAAATTATTAAATTTTATTTGTATATGCATGAGATGTTAATTGTTGTTACTACCTGTCTCCGGAGGCCAAAATTCGCTTATAGATTTTAAAATAGTTTTAACCGTGCCTCTCTGTTTTGTGTCCCGATAACCCACAAGTACCAAATACATTTTGATCAGACAATAATATGCCTTTCCAACACTGAAAATTTCACATAAATCACACCTTTCATGGGATAAAATAAAAGCAATCCATCTGAACATGAAGGAGTTCTCAAAATACTCCACCTTGAATTCAATGCCTGTCCTCCTTTCCACAAGCAAGAAATGGTTGTACGAGTCAAGCCTGGACAATAGGGTGGTCCGACTCCTTAAGCCACAGCCCCCTAAAGAGCACCCACTATTTTTTGTGCATTGTTTCTTTAGATGCAGAGAAATGAAATGCAAAGTAAGAGTGTGGCATGCACTTTTGGGATTGTTACAATTATCAATCCATTTAAAACAGGAATATGAATAACATGGTCAAAGTTTTGCATTCTTTAAAATTAATTGCTCTACATGAATTCTTCCACAACTTTAAATTGGGGGAGGAGAGGAAGAAGATAAGATGTTGATGACAAAAGAGCAATAATTTGCACCAAATTCAATCAACGCTGTGGGCTCCTATGAAGTACATTTCTATTTATGTAACTAACGGCAAACATGAACACATTTGAACATTACTGTAAATTTTCTACTTACCAGAAAGTCAAAAACACTGAGTCCCAGCATTTCAAATGCAATACACATATGGCCATGGTAGTCGAACCAGTCAAGCATTTTAACACAAAGGCTGAAAAGATACAAGATGCCATGAAAGTAAAATACAACTGACACAAACTGAAAGACAATGATACAGTTTCTGCAAATCTATACTTTCCCGGAGCACGTAATAAGGTATTTTCTTTCTCCCTTTCGTTTACGCTTTGGAGTATGGAAGTAAACCACAGATTTAGCATGGAAACTGTGCCATATCTTAAGAAAAACTGTACTTAGAACTCCACCAACTGCTTGTGAGTTTGCTCTAGATAATGGCGTCAAGTACCAAAGGAACCTCTAAATCATTCATAACTGTCACAATCCAAAATGTGGTGTTGGTGAAGAGACACACACACACTACCAGAGCACAAGAGTTTACGAATACCAAAAGACAATTCACGTAATCTGCCTTCCCCTCCTACTTTCTTTTCACTCACACACTACCTGCTCCTTTGCTTTCTTCTCCTTTCATCACAACATACTTTCACCTTGCCTCCGCCTGCCTATGTTCCTTACAGAACCTTCCCAGAGTTTCTGATTTCAGGGCACCTCATTCAACCCTTTTCCTTCTACAAAGGCATTTACAAAAATGAGCACCCAGGCATGGAAGAAATTAGTGTCAAGTGCCTTTAGCCAGGAAATCACATTGTCACCACCAACTGCAAATCAATTACCAGTAAGGCTCGACCAGTAAGAACAAAGGGAAATAACATGGTGTGAGGACTGCACAGCAGGTGATCCAGAACCTCCCACTCATGCCCTTTGTTAGCTTCCTGTCTGGAACTTTTTGTATCGCTATTGGAAATGCGTGACACACTCCCTCCACTATTTTTTTCTTCTTCCCACTGGGTCAACAGCTCCTGCTACCAACCTACATCACTATCTTAAATCCTGAAGATGGAGGCGCTATGTTCTTCAAAACTGTTGGTAACCACCAACAAAACTGGAGGAAGTCTGAATGTTTCTGATGAAGGCACATTGTAATCTGCAGAAGTGGTATTTTGGACTTCGTCGACAACTAACTAACTAACTAGATGGCTTACCTAACCCAAAGGTTCATCACCGAATTAACTCCATGCGCGCTACATGCCCCGCCCATCTCATTCTTCTCGACTTAATCACCCTGACAATATTGGGGGAGTAGTACAGATTTTTAAGCTCATCATTATGCAGTTTTCTCCATGCCCCATCGTCTTCTCTCCTAGGCCCAAATATCCTCCTCAACACCCTATTCTCAAACACCTGCAATCTGTGTTCCTCCCTCTGAGTGAGAGACCATGTTTCGCACCCATACAAAATAACAGGCAAAATTATTATTTTGTATACTTTAATTTTCAGGTCCTTAGAAATCAGATGGGAAGACAAAATAATCTGAACAGAGAAGTAGCAAGCATTTCCGGAATTTAGTCTCCTCCTAACTTCGTCATGACTATCATTTTGATTTGTTATTGTTGTTCCCAAATATTTGAACTTTGTAACACATGGTCATCCTGGTCCGAGGCTTGGTTAATGTGTTCATAACAATGCTTTTTTTAAAGGTGAAGGTCATTAGCCTTACGCCCAACCCCCAACCTGGAGGACCAGGGTATCACTCTTAGTCTGGCGCATCGCCTTAGACCTGTCCGGCTTGGGTGACCCTACCACGAGCTGAAGCTCTGGCCGGCATATCCCTGAGGGTCATTTGAGCATGCAAGCCTCCTATAACTCTTTTTTCATATTACGCCTACAAAACTGCTCTTAAATGGTAATTAGAACCAAACAGTTAAGCTAGAAACCACACATCAATACTGGGCTAGGGCTTGAGGGTATATCAAGTTAAACAAAGCAATTATTTCAACCAGAATCACAACTACAATAAAATTGTAGCTGACATTTTTCTGGGGGTTACTATATTGGAACACAAGTGAAAGAAATTAAACAATGAGACAGTTGGCTCTGGCAGATATTAAATGATGACATTTTTAAGTGAAGGAGTATTACTTCGTGATAACGCTATATATTCAATTGAAGTAATAACATTATGACACACAATAAGCTTAATATTTATCATATTACTTACTGCCTACTGTCAGGATCTTTCTCTGCAATTTTCTCCAGGGCATTGATCTCCAACTTGGCTGCTTCCCGATATTTCTCAACATTCTTGATAATTTTAAGTGCCATCACATGATCTCTGCAATATCAACAGCGTAAATATTATGAATGAATGTGAAGAGCTTCCTGATAAATTGTCATATGATGGACAGAAACAGTAACAAATGACCTGGAGGGTGAGGAGGTCATACAAAGAATTGTACAATTTATGTTCGAAGTACAAGTCACTTGCACATAAAAATATACTTCACTGTCCAGACACGTGGCTGGTCTACTGTTTAAGTCATTATGAAACGTCAATACTTTTAAACACTAATGCAATGTTATAAATCATACAAAACCAGCTCTAGCATGTCTGGCAGACTTAAGATTGTTTGAGCACTACATAAAATCAACTGAGCAGCAGTTGTATGTCAGCGAACCATTTTCACAGAATGAACAAACCAGTCAATTTTTTTAACCCAGAACAGATTAATGTAACACTGCACTTCTGATTATAACTGTATGGAGAGAGAGAGAGAAAACAAACCGTAAAACACAACTGAATAATGTATAACAACAAATTTCAGTTAAATGAACAGGTACCGAGTTCTAGGGCAGAAATGCATCTGCACAACAATGCATTTTATTCTGTAAACAAATACTCAACTAGGAGTCAAAAATATAGCCAGCATCTTTGTGCGTTCACCTTGGAATATGAAGTTCCTGGGCCATGTTACTGTTAACTCCAGTATATATCATATGAAATTGCCATGCACAAAAAAATCAAGCATGTAACAGGTATATTTAAGCTTGGTCCATCACTGAATATTAACCAAATTATAAATTTATATGCATTTTATATATCATCTGTTGTTTTTCATGAAAGCTGTATATTTTTCAAAGTTCTATTACCATACAAAAAAGTAATTTTAGAACTCCCTATAGTAAGTGACATTAGTGTTGTTCCCAAGTCAAAAAGTTTCCAGGAAATTAAAATGAAGTGCAGCCTTCAACAGCATACATTCATAACCGACTTCATGGTTCAAAATTTGGAATGGGGAGACAAAATTTTGCAGACATGATGATCCATGAGAACATACAATATACAAAAGATTATACTACTTTAAATAAGAAATAGAAAATACATGAAAACATATAGAAAGCACATTCCTGTCCACACCCGAGATTATTATGCAAAAAACTAGCAAGACTCATTCTGTATTTTCATGACTGTACTCACAGATTTATGGTAGAGGCACACTATTTTTAGAAGTCATGCTTTACAAAGCACAACAGGTTCTTTAAATTTACGACAATATATGTTTAATGCTCTGATCACATTTAATCTATAGCTGAGCAAAAAGTTGTCAGTGGAACCATGGTTCCAGATAATTTGACGTAAATATGTCATACCTGCTTTACAATTGAGTAAAGTTTGATTAAGACATTGCTTATTTAACTTGAATTAATTACGCTTAAGATGGGTCTGTGGTAGATGAATGTAATGTAATATAAGGTAAGGTAATGTAAAGTAAGGTAAGGTAAGGTTACTATGTAGGTAACCATTGTTGTTTATTTGTTGATAAACAGATGACGTTTCCTAGGTAACATAACAATGAAGTTACACTTTTTTGTTTCCCTTTTTCGTTACATTTTTGGCGAATGACACTGACCCTAAAGTATGGACGTATTTACGTCATAAACCAACAAGAAAAAAAAATGTTCTGGCATGTGCCATAAAATGTACAGGCATATAAACCAAATACGAAAAAGGTACATTACACAATAGAAGACATATACTGATCAAAAGAATATACAATTAACTTTCCATATGTACTGATAAAATGTATATTTGCACTTCTATATTAACAATGATAAATACTGCACCTCAGTACCCTAAGACAATTACAAGCCTTATACAGGTAGCCCTCAATTTACGCCGGGGCTGCGTTCCTGGACAAACCGGTGTAAATTGAAACTCCTTTATAATGTAAATTAATGGGAAGTCAATGACATGTGTTCCCAGCACCCAAAGATTGACGAGTAATATAATGGCATATTTAAAGCTCTGAAATAACGTAAATAGAATAAAGGAAATTAAAAAAAAAATATTTTTATACACTTACAATCGGCAATTCGTTGGTCCCTGCGATTGACTGCGATTATTTCATGTGATTGATGTGTGCTATTATGCGATAGTTGCATTCATGTAAGACACCGACCTATAGAAAATCGCATAGTAAAAATAACCCCGGCACCTCTGCAGAGATTAAATTAGTCCTTTGAAAGTTTAAAGTGCCAGGAATGAAACTGCACAAGAGCAAACACGCATATGCAAAAGTTTGCATTTCACAAACTGCTTTAACCGATTCATCGGAACATACGTAATTGCAGAGATGACTGTATTTATAATTTTTATTCAAAATCAGTGATGTAAGAATTACAATTTAGTATAAGAATCAGTACGAGATACATTGTAAAACGTTATAAATAACAGTAAAATATATTTTTTTACTTTTTGATTTGCTGGTTTCAAAATCGGCGTTATTCTGAAACAGCGCAAATTGAGGGCTACCTGTATAGTCAAATGGATATACAATAATCACTTGCTAATGTAAAAAACTGAAATCATAATCAGGTCTGTCCACCCGATAACAGACTCTCCTAAATTCTCCCATGACACTCAAATCAAGGTCACCTTCGGTGCCAGGCTGAAGCTGTGCAGGTGCAAACACAGTGTATTCGTTCTTGAACATTATCTCACATCAAAACACTGTGCTGCTATTCGTGAAGCATTTAGCAACAAGTATCCTCTTAAGGAAGTACCAAAGAAAACAATATATCAACTGGAAACACCATTTTTTGGGCACAGAACGTGTTTGTCTGTAACAAGTGCTCACTGAGTAACAAAAATTGAAATTATGGACATACTGATTTCAAGCAGTGCATCAGCTGCAAGAATTGAATATTTCCATTACCAAAGGACTCTGTTTTAAACAGAATTCCATGTATGTGACGCTACACCTTGACGTGTACAAGTGAATGTACTCTGCACCAGTAATCTACAGAGCAAGTATGCACTGAACTGAGATAATGCACACAGCATGACGTCTAATGTTGACAGACATAAAATCTTTCCATAAAATCTTTTCCTGCATCTAACAAGATAACTTTGTGCATTTACGATTTTTGAGGGTAATTCAATTGAAATCGCTTTACTGCAACTAACTTTCAAGCCATATGCAGTTTTCCTTTCCTTTTCTGTTGAATATATATAATCCATGCACATGCATTATGGCTGCTGAAAGCATGAGCACAAATATACATCACACTAAAATGGTGCTTTGTAGAATTATATACTAAGCTAGAGAGAGATGCATGGTGTTATCTGATTACTGAAGGAGATAAATTAGCTAATATTTATTGCAGTATAAAGGCTGTATACAATATTTGATACAAGGATAGTGTCTGCAAATGAAAATAGAAGTTGCAGTATACGGGTGTTGGACAGTACTCAGGAGGCAAGCCAAGAGTAGTGAGGATGCAAAATGCCAAATTCAAGAAAATCAAATACTGTGCAACTTCAAGTTGGTGTTGGAAACAAATTTCAGTTCAATTCATATCTCTTCTGTAAGCGAGTTGGTGCGGACATATTAGGTGCCATGATGACACTGGCTGAGCCTTTCTGCCTCATTTTGTAGCCAAATGGTAAACTTCCTTGTATAAACTGTTATATTCAAAAAACAATAAATGGGTACACCACTTACAGACTAAGACCCCGCCCTCCACCCAAATTCAAGTAGCAGCAGCAGCTGGAAATATCATGTTCAATACTTCGAGACATTTAAAATGTCACCGATTTTTGCACATCTTATCCTGCAACTGCCTTATTCACAGGACCTAGCTATGTGGGACAAACATTTCATGATTCTTGAAATGTTCACTCTTTACTGATAACAAGGTACAGTATGCATCATGTACACCCGCAAACTTCACAATGTATATTCATTAACATGTAACAGTGTGATCCTGTTTTTACAGGATTTGATACTGGAGGCTGTTACACAAATTCAAGCAGCAAATTAAATTTTAGTCCACGTCAGAGTTTGCACTACCACTTTATATGAAGCCCAAAGTTTGGATGTAATTATAATTGTTCAGTACAACATTTCCAAAACTCTTGCACAGAATGACATATTCTAACCTAACAAGTTTTATAGTTTAAACATTTTAAAGGACATTATTACGTTCCCATTAATACAAGAAGACGCACTATTCACTTCAAAAACATGGAAGGCAACCTGTGATGTTTCCGTTCTTTAATTTATAAGACATATATAATATTCAGCCCCACTTAATGGTACTTGCACCATGTCGTGGTGGTGGAGCTTGAATACCTCAGTGACCCCAAGAGCTACTGGTAGGGCATCCCTAGCCAGATTGGTCGAGGGGGGAGAGGTCAGACTAAGACAGGTACCCTGGTCCTCCAGGTTGGGGGTTGGTCGCAAGGCTAACAAACTTGCACCGTAAAAAGGAAGATGTTTCGAAACCTCAATCAAAGCCTCGGACAGACAGACCTAACCAAGGACCGAATGGAAAAGGAGAATTGAGGAGGCCGTGGACCGAATACGGACCGGAGAGCCATAGAAGAAGATATAATATTCAGAAGTTGTAGCGTGTGAAATAACAAAATCTAAAGAAACACTAAGTTTACCAACATTCCATTTCTCATTACAAAACAGTTATGATTTAGTTAACCCTACATTGCATTTATGGAAAACCAGCTGCAAATCTAAAACAGTTATACTCTGTAGCCAAAATATTTGGACACATGCCACAATACTTTATTCACACAAAGTTCAATTTTTAAATTAAAAACTAATATGTAGTACAATATAACACAATCTTCCTACGTATGAACTACTACTGTAAGTTAAAATTAAAAGTTCCAGCCCTCAGAATACAGAAACCTAGGGAACTCAAACAATTTTTTTATTATGTTCTA